GCCCCATAAATGTTTTGGGGTGTCCCTGTACCCCCTCCCCAGCCCCATAAAGGTTTTGGGGTGTCCCTGTACCCCCTCCCCAGCCCCATAAAGGTTTTGGGGTGTCCCTTCACCCCACAGAGACCCCCATCCGCCCCCAGAGTCACCCCAAAACCATCTCCTGCCCCACACCGCCGCCTTTATGGCCCCCCTCGAACGCCAAAAGCCCACCCCTCAGCACCCCCTGCTCTCTCCGAGCGCCCCCAAACCCCCCTGGAGACCCCAGTTCCCCTCCCGAGGCTCCCAGAGCCCCCCCAAAAGCCGCCCCTCAGCGCCCCCTGCTCTCTCCGAGCCCCCCCAAACCCCTGGCGGCCCCTCCCACGCCCCGGCCGTCACTCCCGCACCGCCCCGAAGGGCAGATCTCAGCACCCCCCGCCCCACACGGGCCCCACATCCCTTCCCGAGACCCCTCGGTCCCCTCCGAGCGCCGCTGGGGCCCCGCCGAGCCCCCCGGGCCCTGCCGGCCACGCCGCGCTCACCATGGCGGCTCTGAGGGAGAACCGGAAGAGGACTTAGCACGGCTCCTCCGCTCCTATATCCCTCCGCTCCCTCCGCGCGGAAGCGGCGCCGCCGCCCCCCCGTTCCCCGCGGGGACACCCGAGGAGGCCTCGCTGCGGCTCTTCCGGAGGCACCGGGGCGGGCGGGGTGGGCTGCGGGCGGCGGGGGTCGGGGGGGAATTAACGGGAGCGGGGATGGGGTAGGGACTATTTTTTCTGCGGTGCGCGGAGGGATTCGCGCACTCCCGCGCACTGCGCGTGACGTCACCCGCAAGGCGCGCGCGGCGCGAGGGCTGCTGGGAAATGGAGTCCCGCCATGGGGGTCCCCAATGTCCTCTGTCCCCTCTTGGGGGTCACCAGTGTGTCCCCCCCCCATCCCTGCGTGTCCCCAGTGTCCCCTGTCCCTTCCCGGGTGTCCCCAGTGCCGTTTGTGTCCCCCCAGTGTCCGGTGTCCCCCCCCCAAAACCCCTAAAGGAGACCCCAATGTCCTTTGTCCCCCATTTCTGGGTGTCCCAAATGTCCCCTGTCCCCTCCTGGGTGTCCTCAGTGTCCCCTGTCCCCATTTCTGGATGTCCTCAATGTCCTTTGTCCCCATTTCTGGGTGTCCCCAGGTGTCCCCAATGTCCCCATTGATGTCCCAAATGTCCCCATTGATGTCCCCATTGATGTCCCCACTGTCCCCATTGATGTCCCCATTGATGTCCCCGGTGTCCCCATTGATGTCCCCACTGATGTCCCCAATGTCCCCATTGATGTCCCCGGTGTCCCCATTGATGTCCCCACTGATGTCCCCA